GGAAGTATTCAGCAGTACTTACTGATTTAAGTATTTTACCTGGTGTACATGGCTGATGTTTTCAGTGGTATTTAATGGTATCTGCACAATCAGAGCTCTTACACTGAAGAGCCTTATTCACTAGAGTTCCAATGTAACAAGCCATTTTCAAATATTTTTGGCCCAAAATCTTTAAATGGCACCATTTGAGTCAACCTCGAGATAAAAGTCCATTTCTATGAGATGGACATTCCTGCAGTAAAGTGCTTATATGGAACCTCTGTAGTATTGAGGTGCTTATGTGCCTACCTCCAATGAGCCAGTAATTAAGCTTAAAGTGAAGCATGATCCGAATGGCTTTGGTGAATTGGGTACAAATTCATCAATTTTGCAAACAAAAGATGTCTAACCACTTCTAGAGATAAGTAACCTGAGTCACAGAAGACATATAGGGCTGGCAGTTAAAGAAAAATCAGGCATACATTCTGCAAGGGAATATTTTCACAAAACTTTTCCTATGAATATTGTTCTGGTGAAAGCAGCTTTCCCTCATGCTGTGCAGCATTATTTGGTCTTCTGAAAACACTGTAGTTAATTTGTGTACACTCTCCATTTGGAGAGCCATAACTAATGGGAACCAGCCCCAACAACCAGGGAAAAGATTTGTTTTTTCTTTGCCTTTAAATGAAATATCAATAGATAGATATTTTATTTTTAGTTGAATATGAAATTTCACAAGTGACCTGTCAAGTTCCCATTTTCAAGAATGACTTTATTTCACAAGTCAAGACAGGTTGGGAAATTAGTTTTTCCCACAGAGGACTCTGATTAGGGATTACAAAGTGAGTGTGGTGCAGGGTGATTTTTCCTCCATCTTTTTCCTCACCCTGCCAGCCTAGAGAACATCTGACTGCTGACTAAGGGGAGCAATTCATTACCGCACACGGGAGGGGGACCAGAAGTAAGATAGTTGTATTAAGTAGAGTTGCTGGCCCAGGAGAAAACTGGGAAAGCATAATAATACTTAGCCCTTATATTATTCTTTTCATCAGTAGATATCAAAGCACTTGAAAAAGGAGGTTGATTTGATGGGAAGGGAGATAAATGATAAATCCAAGTAGGCTATTGCAGAGGTACCAGCAGGAATGCTTTCATAAAAGGCTCCTTTGACTGTGGTTCTGCAAGGCAGAGAAATAAACAGGTCTTTTCCTCAGTAAAATGCAGATTAACACGTCTCTCAAAGTACATTTCAAGCAATGTTGACTTACCTACTGTAACTCTCGTGGGTGTTGTGGAAATGTAGTGTCCAATACAACAACTGGAGTGCAAGAGGGAAGCTTATGTATTACTGATAAATGACCAGGCAGACAAGACCTATTGCCTTTGTCAGCGGACAACAGCTGATTTACGCAATGGTTTAACTGCTCGTGGAAGCAATAAGTGGTCCACACAAAGGGCTTTGCAGTTTCTACCCCGTTGAAAATTGGGCCCATTCTGTGATATTTCTGTTATCCAGTAGATTATGGGGAGTCACTGGAGTTGAAAGCAGTCTTCCAGCTCTTTTAGAAGAAAAGCATTGTTTGTCTCCTCTGCTAGAAGTCCTGCACTGCGTGGCCTGATAGAGTTCACTGCCAGACTTCCTTCAGGCCATGTGAAAGGGCTGCATATGACGAATCAGATACAGAAAACATCAATCCCAAAGTCAATCTTCATATTCAAGAGCAGAGCAGCATCTCTACTGGCTGCATGTCTTTAACTGTATATGTGTGCATCTCATTGCAGCAGAAAAGCTCCCTTTTCTACTCTTTGTAGCATGTGCTACAAAGCTTGCTTGTTTCTGTTTGCCAATGGCCTTTCCGCCCTGTGTTTATGATAGTGGTGTTCAAAGAGGCCCGAAGCCCTGCTCTGACAGGCAACCCAGAAAAACATCTCATAAGAGGCAGTCTTAGATCCTATTGGGTCAAACGGCTGCTGTGCAGTCACTACAACTCACATCAGGAGCGAAGAACACTACAGGGACAAGAACTTCATATGGAGGTTACCGATATTTTCATGATGCCATCTACAATAATAGCTTGGTTTTCAAAAATGTGAGAGATCAGCAATTTCCTGAGGTACAACTCCAGACATAAGACTTCCAGAGTAAATAGAGATAGAAAGAAAAAGGAAGGAAAAAAAAAACACACCAACTTATTCATATTTGTCCATCCCGCTAACTAGAAAAGGTCACATTTTCAAAACCCATTTGCAGAGGTAAATACTTGTTCCCCTTACTCGGTCTGAAAATCCTCCGTGTTCTGCTAACTATGCTGCGGCTCTGCTGTACAGCAGCAGCTTTGAACAGCCCAATCTGCTGTGGACCATTGCCTCCCTCCAATACAGCTACAAATAGGTTTAAATCATTAGATTCAGGTTACCAAACAGTCTCTTGGATCACAGTTAATTAAATGAGTGTTGAAATCTAATTAAGGACTGGTCCAGGTGATAATTAGGAGGAAATGTATGCATTAAAATATTCATTTGTCGATGAGCTGCAATTAAGAGTGTGATTTGGGGAAGGATCAATAACTACATCATGTGATGTAAAAAAAAAATGAAAAGTTGCCCAGCCTTGAGCAGAAATGCAGGAAAATCTTGGCTAGTTTTCTTTTTCTTCTCCCTTCATAGAATCATAGAATCACAAGGTTCGAAATGACCTATAAGATCATCCAGTCCAACCATATCCTCATCACCATTGCCACCACTAGTACTAAACCATATCACGCAGCACGTCATCCAGACCCGTCTTGAACACTGCCAGGGACGGCGACTCCACCACCTCCCTGGGCAGGCCATTCCATTGCCTGACCACTCTCTGAGAGAAGTAGTTCTTCCTTATGTCCAACCTAAACCTCCTCTGATACAACTTGCGGCCATTGCCCCATGTCCTGCTCATTGCCTGGGAGAAGAAGCCAAATCCCTCTTCACCACAGCCTCCCTTCAGGAAGTTGTACAGTGCACTGAGGTCTCCCCTGAGCCTCCTCTTGTCCAGACTGAACAATCCCAGCTCCCTCAGCCGCTCCTCATAAGACTTGTGCTCCAGACCCCTCACCAGTTTTGTTGCCATTCTCTGGACACGCTCCAGGACCTCAACATCTTTCCTGTAGTGAGGAGCCCAAAACTGAACACAGTACTTGAGGTGCGGCCTCACCAGTGCTGAGTAGAGGGGGATGATCACCTCCCTGCTTCTGCTGGCCACACTGTTTTTAATGCAGGCCAGGATGCTGTTGGCCCTCTTGGCCACCTGAGCACACCTTCACCCTTGTGTTCTGTTTTGCTCTTATAATAATTATATTAAATTATAATCTTATAACTTTTGAAGACTGCTCTCCACCCTTGAATAGAGCATTCATCGCTCCTTACCTTTGTTTTCCTGAAGCACTTATTTCAACCCCTTGTTCTTCACCACATTGTTCAAGTGGGTTATAGATTTATTAGAGAAAGAGTAACAGGTCAAAAAGATTCTTTGCCAACGAAAATCACTTCTTCCTGGAGCAGGCTGCTAATCTAGAGAAACATCACTCATTGCATGGCCTTAGATTATTTTCTATTTCAGCAAGTTTATTCCTCAAATTGTTATTCATAACTGAGAATCTGGAGAGACTATTGAATATGCAAAACTTGGACATACATATATGTACGTCTGCAGCTGCAGTTTACTAAGCTGGTTTGATATGGACCAGCTCTGCTTTCCCTGAGACTTTTTTTTCCAGTTGCAGGTACATAGATGTGTTATGTAAGAAAGTTAAGTACACTCTCTCTATGCAGTCCCACCCAATCTCACTCCGCTGGAAAAAAAATGGCATCATGCTCTAGACCAGTTCCTCTGCCACAGAACTGGTGTTTCCCCACTGCCATAGCCAGAGGCTGAGCTGGCCATCTCCCTGCTGACTTTATTTCCATCAGAGAATACCAGCATGTCAAAAGGGAAGTGTACCATGGGAGCATAATGATTTCAGCTTCTCTTTTGTCAGTCTTCTGACAGCTCACCTGCCCATCTCCCCAGGCCCGGTGGCAGCCCAGTTCCTGAGGCAACTGTCTGCCTGCTGTCAGGGCTGCTGCCAAATTCCCCTTCCCCACATCTGTCTTCCCCCAGGGGGACCACAGTGTAGGGAATCAAGCAACCCATGAAGTGAGGAAATCCTTGAATCCAGCCAAAACAATATCAGTGCCTGCCTTCCTAAGCAGATCTATTTCTTCCCATCTCTACCTCCTACCAGAAATTTGAGAATTGCAGTTACTGATCTTTTATCTCATTTTGAGAAGGTGAGGGATTTTGTTCATTCCCAAAAGCTCTACATTTTTCACAGACTTCTGCAGCCAGCTCCGATGATCATCAGTAGCTCTGTACTAGCATTGCCTACAGACAGAACCCAAATATTGTGAACTGGCCTGGATTTAACAGTGCTGAATAGACGCTGCTTGTTGATGGGACTTATGCGCTATCCAGCAAACTGATTCTTGCCTCTAAGAACAGGGCTTTCTCACTGAACGTGGAGGTTGCAACACAGCACAATGTAAAAGGATGATCTGGCTCAGGGTTCCAGAACACACAGAGCAAACAAAGTCCATTAAAGTAAGTCAGTTCAAAATCCCACAATATACATCCATCAAAGGTTTCTACATTTTCCTGCACTGAGTCCGTATCCCCATCCTCTGATGAGAGCTAACAGACCAGAAGATTTTCTAAAGGTTGAAAAAATAAGGCAACAGCTTTTGCAGAGAGAATATTTATAACAGCCTGGAAGTGTGAACTTTGGAGGACACTAGGAACAGTCCTCCAGAGTCCTTTCCTTCCTATACTCTCAGTCTGTTGCAAAAGCTCCAAACCAGAAGGCCAGAGAGGTTGTGTGGGAAAAATGCCAGCGTCAGCAGGATCCTACACTATCAAATCTGTGTGTGACATATGGATTGCATGAGCCAGTGTATATCTATCTCCTGGCTAATCCTTTTCTATATCTCTTTTGTTTTCTGTCCTGCAGGGAGCCTCTTCAAGCCTGGTGGTGAAGTTTGCAGATACAGACAAGGAGCGTACAATGAGGCGCATGCAGCAAATGGCGGGACAAATGGGCATGTTCAACCCCATGGCCATCCAGTTTGGAGCATATGGCGCCTATGCACAGGCAGTAAGTATAGACATTGGCTCCATGCACATTTACATGAAGAGGAAGAGCACCTAGACTGCACAAAAACACAAGTGAGCAGAGAGATAACTGATGAGCAGAAGAGGAACCAGTAACCAGGCCCATGCAAGACACTTCTTGTGGGATCTAAGCCATTGCTGTCAAATGCAAACACAACTAGCCTTTGAATATTTGGATAAAATAGGCCCTGAATTTAGCTCATGTGAGTTCTCTGATCCATGTCAGTACCATCCAGCCCCAGAGAAGGTTTTAAAGGGCATAAATAGCTCTCCCCTGATACCAGCCACACAGATTGAGTTGAACTCAAAGTTACTTGAGGGTAACTTTGGCGTGATCATGGGATAACATGGCAGCTCTTGATGGAAGTTCTTTTAGGTTCAAGGAAGCAAGCTATACAATATGGAAATGGATAAGCAGATAAAAGCATGCATACAGTGCTGATTCCTCATAACAATATGATTTAAGCACACTGGGAAAACACTTCAGCTATTCAGTATGTATTGTTATATCAGGCATCCATTCCTAAGCTGTCCCCTGGACCTCTGGGACAACCCATGACTGAACAAGGAGCTGGATTCCTGGCATAACCACGGATTTTGATGCCTTTAGCATAAATGGCTTTACTTAGGCTACAATTAACAAGGATCCACAAGACAAGCAACTTGGTAACTTGGTCCCTTTGTCACATACTTTAGAAGAAAGTAGAGTGATCCCTACAGCAGGCAGATATAATACTATCAGGTCACTTTGGATATCTTTTCTGGCACAGATTATACATTTGCAGGCAGCAAAAAGTATACCTAGACGTTTCATCCATCTGGTGAAAAAATATGACCCTCTTGTGCTCCGTACTGGATATGTGAGCAAGAAACCTATTTTGTAAAATAATATCTTCCTTAATCAGTGAGACTTGCCTTAGGTAACACAGGTCTAACTCCAGAATCTCCCCAATGTACCAGTAGTTCCTCTACCACATTGATCACAATGCCGTGCTGTGTTGTCTGTATATTTAATTGTCATATACTGGCATCACGGACTTCCCATCCCATCCACAGGTTCTTTTTTTAAAAAATAGACAGCCTACAAATATCCACTATTTCCTGTGTGCCATGTGCTTTGCTGAGCACTTGGTACAACCCAGCGCTTCCCTCCTGCACAGTCGTGAGGACATACTGTAGGAGCTTCACAGATGCTCCCACTCTCCTGGTACTATTCTGGGCTTTTTTTATTCTCTCATTAAGCAATTTCATTTTTTCCTTCTATTTTTCCCTGTTCTTTTTGTTAGTCTCAAAGACAATGGAGGCCTCAGCTGCCTCTTCCCTGGTCTCCTGCTCTCCTCCTCACAGACTGAAGAGCTGCCCCCTCCCTAGCCCAGCTGTGTTTAACTGTCCTCCTATCTGGACAAGGCTGCAGGATGGGAAAAAGACAGTAAATCCCACATGAGCCCTGGCCAGTGGCCAACAGCCTGCCAGGTGGGTGCAGCATTTGTTCCCCCATGTATTAAGGGAATAAACAGGAAGGGAGCTCTTGGGCAGCTGAGGACGCACATCTGCAGAGGCTGTCAGGCAGAAGATGTGACTGCAGAATTACACTACAGGCATTGATCAGGCAGCTGGAAAGGTAATAAGGACACTGCTGTCCTCATACTCTGGACATCTCTTCTTAACTGCGCTCTTCTTAGCTACATTCATTTTTAATCTAGAGTAATTCTTATAATTGCTATTATAAAAGAGTCAGCCCAGAGTTATAGAGATACAAAAGAGGATGAGGTCTGCACCTTTATACCACAAAAGTTCTTCCATCTATTTCTCACTAGACAATACCATTTTGAGGATAGGTACTTGAGTGAAGTTTTATCTCTGAAGAAAAACTGAGAACAATTCCTGGGTCGGCTCCTGCTTCCCTTGAAACCAATGAATATTTTTCCTATTGAGTTCTGTGAAAACAGTATTGGACCCATATTCTTTTTCTTTTTCTTTCTTTCTTTTCTTTTTTTTTTTTTTTCTTCCTGCTGGTAAGTATGCAAATAAGGGGGAAAGAATAAATTTTAGATCTTGGACCATAGGATATGACAAGCTGGTGATACCAATTACCCTGGAGACTTCAGAGCTTTTTAAATGATGGGATCGCATTTCTTTGTGGTGCCTGTACACCCAGAGCGTGCTCAGATGCTGTCTCTCAATCAGCATCCCTATCTATGTCTCTTCCTATCTGCTTCATCTCAGAGTCTCATACAAAAGGAAAGGAAAGAGAGCTGAAGCTGTGTGACGTTCCCTCGGTCCTGATTAATCCACCTTGGACTGCTGGCTCTTAGATATCAGGGTGATTGGCACCTCGTAAATGCCAGCAGGAGATGGAAAGATCAATAGTGAGAGAGTGACTGGGAGAGGGGGAGAGGACGAGGGCAGTTTTATTCAGCCCAAACTGAAGTTTAAGAGCAAAGGCAAGTCAAGAAAAGGAAAAATGAAAACACAAGTGTAGGACAGTGGTGACAGCTGATGCCGTTGCCACCAGCAATTTGTGTGACCTTGGGTGAGTCATTTGATTTCCTAGACTTATGTCCCCATCTACAAGTGAAGATGATGACCGGATTTGTTTATTTTCCAGTCTCCCTCAGGGACATGGCTCTCTCTCATGCCATTCCTCCATGGGTTCTCACACACAGACCTGATGATAGTGCAAGTTTAAGAACTGCCTCAATGCTTCGCATTGCAGCCAGGACTACCATGAAACATAGGCTTTCTGAACTGTACTCTTGCTATGTCCTCCCAGATATCCCACTGCAATCCAGCAGTGACTGACATCACCATAAAAGAGCTCCCAAGCAGTCCTACTGCTGGTTAACAAGCTGTTTCTAATGGCCATTCCCATGGAGGAGGTTGCATCGTCCCAGGGCAGTGGGCTTCTCCCCAGAGAGGCATCCTCTGCCCACCCATATCACTGGGGCTGAATTAGCTCATACAAAAAGGTTTCTATGTGTCAGTGTGACCAGTGCAGCAGAAACCTTCATGGTGCAGTTGTCTGAGATATTACCAGGCAGTGCTGGATTTACAAATTAAGCAGCATCTCTGGGGAGAAGTGGCAGGGGTCTCAGTCCATTAGTATTTGACTGACAGTTGTTAGTGTGCTACCAAGACTGCTCTGGGCCCAAGCTCCTCTTTAAGTTCCTTCTTTTGCAGCTCAGCAAATGGCCTTGTCATGGTTCACTCCCCACTGCTGCTCTTTGCCAAGCCTCAGCTTAAGCAACCTTAACCTTGATAGCAGCGATAGCCTTGTGTTGGCCACGCCACTAGTCCTCACGTTCAGTAGCCATATGGCCTCAGCTTCAGAGGCAACAAAACCAGGAAGCAAAGGGGTGCAGTGGGTTTTTTTTCTCTCTTTCATTCTCAATATTTCATTCTCCTCTTCTCCTCTATGTGTGTGTTTTGTCTCCCCATCATGTGCTCCCTGCAAAAAAAAAAAAAAAAAAAAAAAAGCAACCAACAGGACAAAGCTTGGCACAAACTCCGTGAGCTGTTTCAGTAATGCAAAGAGTCACATCAGACCCACCTCACCTCTTCTGTATGCAGCTCAGAGCAAGTCAGCTTTCATGGCTATCCAAAGCTCCCAGAGCCCCTTTACTAATTTGTTTCAGTTTGTTTGGGTTGTTTTTTATCCCCCAGCAATATCTTCCCATATTCATCTAGCTTCTCTTATTTTTATGAGGCAATTAATTATTTCAGCTCACTCTTGTTTAGAGCACCAGCCCTTTTTATGTCGTGTTACCGTGGATCCACATCAGCTGGATGTAGTTAACTTTCTGTAGTCTCCCTGAAGCCAGCTTGAGGTACAGGTCTGAACTCAGCCTGGGGATGAGGCTGATGCTGAATAGCACCAGCTTTGCTCTGCTGCCAGATGAGGCACATATTCCATCCGGTACAAAGCATCTTCTTAGACCCCATAGGGTGGCCAAGCCTGAAATCACGAGCAGTTAAAGTAAAAGCAGACTGTGAACTATAGTAGTACAGTCCAAGCCCAAATAGGCACCACTGGCAAAAGTTCCTCCAACTCTTCTTTCTGTGAAGGAAGTAGCAAGTACTTAGCAGCTGTCTGTTGACCCACCAGAAACAAAAGGAAACATGCAGAGTCCAAAAAGGGTCAGGGAGATGGGAAAAAGCAGAAGAGAACACTAAGAACAAAGGAAGGAGCCTTGGAAAGTGACAGATAATGCATAAATTATTTAATTTTTAAATTATGTAAAGTAAGATCTAAGTCATAAATCAAGTTTACATAAAAAATAGGGTGGGAGTGTTAGCCATAGTCTCCTGGCCAAATTCCAGCTGTGAGACTGATTGCTTCCTGCAGCAGGGGACAGGCAGAGATTTAGTGAGAGGAAATGGACAGACTGGGGACAGGGGCAGCACAGACAATAGTAACATTTGCTCTTTGGCTTGGAACAAATCCTTTCCCTTCAGTAAATCCCAGCTCCCCTCACTCTGAAAAAGTGCAAATGGCTGCAGCTCCTGAACTGCAGACAGTAACTGCAAGGAAACTGTGAACATCCAGCATTGCATAGATCACAGTCATCATCAGAAGTGCTTACCTCAGTCATCCTGTGATGCTGTCCATTAAAGCCCACCAGCCCACTTTTGCCTCCCTGCCCAGCTCCCACAGAAATGAAAGGGCATTCTCATGAATGACCTGAAGAGGTGCTGCAGGGAAGAATCATTTTTTGAACATTTTTTCAATGCATACTGTAAAATTAATTTGTAAAGATATTTAAAAGAAATCATCTAGCCCTTACAAAACACGGAAAAATTACTTTACATAGATAGACAATCTTGTATATATAATTGTTATTACATTTCAATGACCAACATAGTGTCATATATTTGGTAAATACTGCTAGTTATGCAAACTTGTTATTCTGATCCATTCCAGAAGAGGAAGCTATTTTGAACCCATGGTACTTTGCACAGGATGAATACTTCGCATCTGATTGT